GTAACAACCCTCTGCTTTCTTCCATCCAGCCACTCTTTTATCCAACTTGCTAACTTATCCCCCACACCTATAGGGATATTTTTTTTTTTACAAGCCTCTTATGTAGTACCTTGTCAAATGCTTTCTGAAAATCCAGATACACCAAATCTACATCCTTACCCTCATCTACATAATGCAAGATTTTCCCTTGGTGAAGCCATGTTGACTATCCAATAAAATTCTAAACTTTGTTAAATGACTTTGCAAAGGATCTTTTAACAGACTTTCCAAAAATTTTCCCACAACTGATGAAAGACTAATGGTCTAGAATTACTGGGACAATTTTTATCACCTCCCTTTAAAAGATGAGTTACATTAGCTAACTTCAAATCCTTTGGTACCTGCCCACTATTCAAGGACTGACAAAAAAATAGTAGCAAGTGGCTCATAAATCCAATCTTTAACCTCCTTCAAAACCCTTCGGGAAATATTATCTGGCCCAGGAGTCTTATCATGTTTTAAACTTCCCGATTTTTTCTTAACCAGCTCAGAATTAATGCAGTCATCTTGTTTGATTTTGTTTCCATTTATCAACTGATCAAGATGTGGAATACTGCTTAAATCTTCATTAGTAAAAACTGAAGAAAAAGTAAAATTCAATAACCCAGCCATCTCATAATCATCAGATACTAGCCTTCCTTTATCATCTCTCAAGGGTCCTATCCCTATCCTAACATTTTGTTTCCCCTTAATGTATTCAAAGAAATCCTTACTGTTAATTTTTACATTTTCAGACAACTTTTTCTCATACATCATTTTTGATATCCTAATTTCCTGTTTCACCAACTTTCTTGATTTTCTATAATCTTCTAAGCCTCCTGTGATACTGGTCAATTTACATTTCTTAAATTTATGATACTTTTCTTTAATTTTATTTCTTAAACTCTTTGTGAGCCAACCTGGTCTTTTACTTGTAACTACTTTTTCTTTCTATTAGGAATATGTTTACATTGAATATTTAAAAATTTATCTTTAAAAATTTTCCACATCTGATCAGTGTCTCCAAATAACTCGGCTGCCCAATTCACAACAGATAACTCTTGTCGCACCCCTTCAAAATTTGATTTTTTTGAAATTTGTTACCATTATTCCTTATCTCCATATGCAGCAAAACATTGACCTAATAGAGCAATGATCACTTGCACCCAGATGTTCTCCAATTTCCATCCTCTCAATTATTTCTGTATTTGAAGTTAACAATAAGTCTAAAATAGCATTGTTTCTAGTTGGTTCCTTGACTAACTGGCAAAAAAAGCCATCCTGAACAGGTTCCAAAAACCTTTCTCCCTCATGGTTTTATTCTAGAATACCCCAATCTATATGTCTGAAATTAAAATCACCAATAATCATGACTTCATTAACAGCTGAAATCTTGATCTCATTATAAAGTTTCTCACTAATTTTATCAGTATCATTTGGTGGTCTGTAACAAATTTCCACTAAAAGTCTTTTCCATTTATATCCACTAATAGAAATTCAAATGGATCCAATCTCTTTGCTATTATCTTTGACATCCTCAACTTCAACAGGATGTAACTCCTCACCTCTTTAATACTTTATCCCTATTAAATAGCCTGTAATTCTGTAGTTCAAATGTATACTATGAAATTTTAAGTTCTGAAAACAGTAACAAAGACAGGAAAGTAAACTGTCAGTATTAAAGATTTGCACATAATATACTGTAGTCCTAATTGTTAAATAGAATGAATAGAAACTCCTAATTCATAGTAATTCACATACAACACCTTCATTCTCTGAAATTATTGTAATTAGTTTATTTGACACAGTGCAATTTCTTGCTTGTTGCAACACACAAAGGATTCTTAATTCCTTTTGAAAATCCATTTATAATAAATTAAAATTTGTATTCTGTACCGATCTTATTCTTAATGACTGTGACTTTGCAGATGAAACTTTGATGATACATCTTAATGACTATGATACTGATATACTAAAAACATGTAGTGTTGTACACTATTATTTTGTAAAGATAATGTTAACACTGAAAGCATATAACCAGGTCAAAGTTATTGGTACAATACATTTTCTATTAAACAAGAAATAAAGTTATCTAATTAATTACAAGGAACACAAACAGTTCAAGTCTGAAAAAGAAATGCACGTACTAATTAAATTTTTAGGTGACTGATCACCAATTTTTTTATTTGTTACGAATAAATATCAATGGAAAAGTTTTCGTTGAGTGATCCAACACACTTCACATTTTGGCATGAATATGAATCCGAGATTAGAAAATAAAATTTTTATTATTATTATTATTACAAATCTTTATTTAATATAACACTGTATGAAAATCTGAAATAAGGATTTGTTTGGTAATAGCTTTTGTAATTTATTTGTCAAAAAAGAACTTTTTTAAACTAACTTATTTTATATACTTAAGACATGTACATTAAACTAACTTATTTTATATACTTAAGACATGTACAAGTATTAACATTTTATTAACCCTTCTTTTCACCTTAACAAACTTTGGTGAAAAACTAAACAATGCGTCATTTAAAGGCACAACAAAACACTTTAAAGATGTACAAAATACATTAAGTCGACCAAGCTTTGTAAACTACTACAATCCACAATAAGAAAATTAAAAAAACATAAATCTGTCAGTCTTTGTTTGTTGGCATGTTACTATAGTTAAAAGTACAATAAAAAAAAGAGATCATCTAAAAATTTATATCTTTTTGTATCAATATTTACAAAGCTTGCATATAGACAACATCTCAATTGTATTCAACTTTTGAGCAATCAAAAAATTAAAAACATTAAGATGAAATTGATGAAGCTTGGCTTTAAAGTTGTTTGCAGCATGTCTCTGTCCTTATCTGATTAAAAGAAATAACACAGTAAGCAATTACACAATGTCCACAGAGTTAGTCTCTTGAACTCATGAGGAAGTCTATTACTGTTACTTTGACTCTGGCTGTTTCAAATGTTACCAGTTAGCCATTCCTGGCTTGTTGAGAGTCATGAAGTAGATCTGGCACGAAGAGCCACTTTTGGCAGAGGAGAAAAAGACCTATAAAAAGTGCATACAGAAAAATTTATACAAGTTCATTAATTGTTAAGTGATACTTATGTACATTTTTATGAAAATAACATATTTAGGTATCGTGAATATAAAAACAAATTTGAAATTCTGAAACAAGATATTTAGTACTAGTTGAAACACCCATTTGTTCGATGGGAGAAATAAAAACTTGCTTGTAACAAAGGAAAGGAAATTGTGCTTCATTTTTCTCTTAACATAATAAACATTAAAAGTGCAATACAAATACATAAAGATACCAATGCTGAAAAGAAAGACCTACTGTTTTCAAGAATTCTAAAAATAGTGGTTACATAGTTCATACTATTGCTGAGGGATATAAAACATCGGTAGTTTTCTGAAATTAGAGGGGGGGTGTCCAACCATCCCTTTAAAAAGGGATTCCCAACTTTTTTTCCTCTGTACCCCTTGGCCTTGGACATTGACAGGTTTCCGTATACCCCTAAAAATTAAAGATCAAAAATGGATAAAATTATATTGGTTTTAATTTATTTTAGTATGAAATCTGTATGTGTGGACTGCATAAGGATCTTATAGTATTGATAACATCGATAAATTGAACTCAGCGTAAATTTATGTGAGCCAATTTGTTCTCTTTGTCTGACTGTAGATTAAAACACCATGTAAAGTGTAAACCATGGTTATACTCTCAAACCCCCATGTACCCCCTGAGAAGTGCAAATGTACCCATGGGGGTACATTTACCCCAGGTTGGGAATGTCTGCTTTAAATATTCTTACTTATTTAAGACCAAAGAATATGGCATAGTGCATTCTCTATATAACAAAAGAAGTTTTACATTTTAATTCAAGCTTAAGTATTGTTGTTTAGAGAATCTCTGCTACCCACAGAGAAAAAAGTGGTGCATTTGAAAACATTGGACAAAACATGAGAAATTCTAATTTACTAATACTGTTTGTGCAGATACACTGAAACACATTTAAGTATAGTATTCTTATAATATATGCACAATTGAGCATTCTATACCACATGTTCAGTGTTGTAATACAGTAACAATGCTGGAAATTCATCCCTAAACTACATAACTATTGAGTTTCTGAAAGTTTATTGTATAGTACATCTGTCAAATTCAAAAGTAGTAAACATACTAAAGCAAGCATCATCTATAGTGAAAAACATTATACTGATATTAGCCATGATCTGCAAAACATTTGTGTTAGTTTTCATGCCCTTCACTTGAATTTTCCTTATTCCATCATTTTCATGCACGGCATTTAAGCTATGCTTTCTTGCAGGCATTATGTGTTAGATCGATAAATCCTATTTGAAAAAAAAATTATGCGGTCAGACAAACAAACTCACTTAGAAGTAACTTTATTTAATAAAACTACAGTAAACAATAAAGTAGCTAAAAGGTGTTCATAGCAGTCTATGAAATGAACCAAAGCTAAATTATTGCAAAGTTGTAATGAAGGTAAACTTAGCTGAAAATGCATAAGAATCTGAATGTGTGTTCACAAACTAATAAGCACATGGTCTTGAACAAACTGCACATACATATTTCAGACCTAAATATGTCAAGAAAGTTCATAGCAAAATTATTTATTGCAATATTAATTTTTTTAGGAAATTACATGCAAGTAACTTTGACTGTGAATGGAAAAGCCAATATGCAATCCGGACTCCTCGGACAAAGGCCTTTCTAACAATACGAGATTTGTAGCATTTGATTGAGAAATTTGTGAGAAAAATATTAGACAGACAAATGCATGTTTATTATTTATATAAATATACTTCCATAGTTACTGAGAAGTGTTATAATATTCATAGTTAACTCCCAAATTACCATAAGATTCAGAATCATAACCAGTCACAAAGGATTTATCTGGATTACAGAAGTTCCCAAGAATCATAAGTATATGTACAAGGCAAAGTTTTCATATCACAGCTGCACTTACACTTGTATTCTGATTTTCAACAACTATAAGCTATTTGTTTTAACATACGTCTAGAACCAGCAATAACAAAGTGATAGTGTCTGGTGCTTCATCTCTCTTCCAACCTCATCCAATATATGATGGTACTTCTGGCAGAGTTATAATAGCATTGTGCCAAATATACATGTGATACTTAGCCCTAGCAATACGTTGTTTTAGACAGTCCTGTTCTGGTAGTAGCTGCTTATGTTCCTCTTTTTTGTAGAAAGATTTCTTGTAATGCACAAGATTGATGTTTTCATCAGTTTTACAACCACATAACTGGTGCATGAACATACCATTACAAGCTGAGCTGTTTTTTTTTGCTGCAAGAATTTCAGGCCTTCAAAATTGACTGGGTTATCTGATACAAGTTTTAGTGGTTTGACTTTTCCAATGCTTAAAGGTGCACTTGTAGAGTCACATCAAATAACAGAATAAAGATCTGGCAATTCAGAACAAAATTCTTTGCCACAATAATATGGGATGTTATGTGTAGGTATGAACCATTCTTTGTTCTTTTCCCCTGTTTACAGCCAAAGTTTAGGCATTGGAAGCGGTAAAAAGTGTACACATAGTACACCAACACTGAAATCTTGTGATCAGTTAATCATCCTCCTCAAGGCTGGAAAATAGCTTAGATATTTCTGTGACACTGCCTCACTGAACACACTTTACCAAGATCCTATCTTTCAATTCTTTTCCAATGAAAAGTTTGTTTCCTGGGTCTTGTCAAAATACACCACTGATTATAGCAGAAGACTACTGAATTAGTTTTTGAAGTAAAATAGAACCAGCAATTTCTCAGCTTGGTGGCTGATCTGACACTGTCACCCTATCTCATTAGGATCATCTTAGATGTGTCTACTAGACTAGAATAGGTGGAATTTTATGTATTGCAGGGATAAAAAAGTTTCAATAAGCTCCTTATCCCAGGTGGAGCCCCAGACTAATACTCATTTATAAATATTTACTATGTGTCACTCACATAGGTTGCATGCTTTTTCACAACAGAAAATAACTTTGGTTTGTTTGTTATGAATTTAGTGCAAAGTTATACGAGGGCTATTT